GGTGTAAGATTTAATTAAATTGACTTAACAATTGAGATATTAATCTAATTATCGATATTGTGAAGTATATGCCACATGATTATCGGGGTAGTTTATTTAATTGAATGCAGCGCTATAAGTGAAGTTAATTAGTATATAATTGGGCATTGAGCATGTAAGTGAACAAAGCTCGGTCCAATACGTAGAGTTGAATATGTAGGAGACCACTACTTAAAATATTATGAGAATTGATATATTAATTAATTCTTTTTGAATTTTAGAAAATTTAAAATTAATAATTAATTTTGTATTAATTATTGTTTAGAACTAAACTCGAGATAATAGAAAATTATTTGGTAGTTATTATGTAATGTTCAATTTTAATTAGTAGATATAAAACACAACTAGTCAAAAGAATAAGTCAAAATATCATTTAATTTGTTTTTTTTATTCAAAATAGGAAATAATACAATTGATTGAGATTTGGCTTAAGTTAACATGCAACTCCACCTTTAATGCAAGAGCATGGGGACGTGATTCCGTTTTAAATAGTCGTCCAAGTTCGATATCGCATCCCTCTAGATAAGGGATATGCGTGTATCTTATTTGGTCTTCAAATGAGAGTCAATGAATATATATGGGAATATATATATATATATATATATATATTATACATGCAAGACATCAAAAGGGAGAGTTGTCAGGAAGGAAAAAAAATATTAAGTATTCTTCTTGAGGGAGGAAACCAGAGAGAGAAAAAGAGTTGGAAATTTTCTAAATTTTTTTCTTCTCGTTATCGTAGATAAAAAAAAAAAAGAGGCTCCTATATTGTTAAGAGATCAAGAAAATCAAATAAGTATAAAGGAAATATGATATTATTATTTTTTTTTATTACCATAATATGGCCGATTATGTCGCAATTTGGCATTTGAATATTTTATAATGGTTCATGTTGGTATGAATATGATTCTTTGTTATATTAGACATATATATAAGGTGTGCACATGATGCAGCTGTAGAATTTAATAACCCACTCCTACCTGTATACGTTTTTCAACTTTATAAGTTTAATTGAAAAAATATTTTTCCAAAAAAAAAAGTCAAAATATCATTTAATTTGTTTTTTTTTTATTCAAAATGGGAAATCATGCAAGGGCAGGGGGACGTGATTCCGCTTTGAATACTGGTCCAAGTTCGATATCGCATCCCTCTAAATAAGGATTATGCGTGTATCTTATTTGGTTTTCAAATGAGAGTCAACGAATATATATTGAAATATACATACATACATATATATATATATATATATATATATTATACGTGCAAGACATCAAAGGGGGGAGTTGTCAGCAAAGAAAAAATATTAAGTATTCTTCTTGAGGGAGGAAACCAGAGAGGGAAAAAGAGTTGGAAAATTTCTAAATTTTTTTCTTGTCGTTATCATAGATATAAAAGGCTCCTATATTGTTAAGAGATCAAGAAAGTAAGTATAAAGGAAATATGACTTTTTTTTTTTTTTTTTTTTAAGGTTTGTTCTAGTTTTTCATATACTAAGGAGACGTTTGGTTCATGGATTAGAATCATGTGATTAGAATTATTTTCGATTTACGTGTATTTTTTATAAGAGAAAACATTGTAGCGAACTATGAACCATGATTCAAATCATGGTTTGAATCCTCCAACCAAACATTCCCTAATTGATTGTTTTTGTAGTGCATAAAGTGTCCACTATCACTTAGTGCAGTTAGACTTAAGAACAGTCTAAAAGTCTGTGTGGACGAGAACACCAACTGATCTTATATGAGCGTCGTCTCCAAACAAATATCAAAAGTACCCTTTATCGTTATGCAGTTATTTTATATATATTAAGAAACCGTTTTTATGAATCTTTCGCAACATACATTTTGTAAGATGAAATTAATATTTCCTACAGTCCATCCCCATAATATGGCCGATTATGTCGCAATTTGGCATTTGAATATTTTGTAATGAATTCACGTTGGTATGATTATGATTCTTTGTTATATTAGACATAAAAGGTGTGCACATGATGCAGCTGTAGAATTTAATAACCCACTCCTACCTGTATACGTTTTTCAACTTTATAAAGACGTCATGTTTATTGAATTTATTATAAAAGTGACAAAATATCAAAATTTATTTTTATTCAAAATATGAAATAATGTAATTAATTGAGCTTGATTAAAAATGCAACTCCATCTTTAATGCAAGGACACGGACATGTATATATATTGACATATATATATAGCATATATATATATATAGCATATATATATATATATATAGCATATATACAAAAGATATGGAAAGAGAGATGAGTTATCAGATCGAAAGAAAAAAAGAATATTACGTATTCTTTTTGAGAGAGGAAATAAGCGAGAGAAAAAAAGAGAAAAATATTTAAATCTTTTTCTTGTGGTTGGCTCATATATTATCAGGAGAACAAGAAGCTAAGAAGATCGAAAATAAAATATTATTTTTTGTATTAGTTTCTTCTCGTTGCTATAATAATAGCCCTATTGTCGTTAATATATATATATATATATATATATATCATTGCAGGTTAGTTGTCGCTATAACTCTGTTGTTGAAAAGACATTTTGTGACGACAATATTGTTGTCGCCACAAAGAGATCTACAACGACAGTTTATAGTCACTATAAGTTTGAATAGTCCGTCGCTGAACATTAGTCAGAATTTGGTTCCACATTTCATTGCTTTATATTTAGCGATGATAACTTTAAAATTTGTTGTCACTAAATACACAGAAACAACGACGGTTTTTATTTTTTGTAGCAAAAAGTGTTTTGTAATTTTTAAATATATTTTTGTGTACTTATTAGTTATTAGTGATGTCTTTTTTAATAGTAGTCATCACTGAAGGTTTTTTAATTTTTTTAATATATTTTAATATTTTAATATTTTTAGTTATTTTTCAATTTTAATTTATTTTATAAAATGTAATTTAATAACTATATTTGATATTAAATTATTAATTAATTACATTTTGTAATCATAAATTTAATATAATAAATAAAAATAAGAATTAAATATCACATCAATAAATAAAGCGAATGCTAAACATAAGTCGTGATATTAAAAGTTCATATAACGTACTAATTAATATGCAACCAAAATTAATGTATCTAATACACTAAAATAAAGTAACAAGTCTCTAAAAATAAGAAATAACATCTAATTGGCCCTTAAGGTTGCAGCGCCATTGTCATCATCATCGTCACCTTCGGCTGGTGGTGGTTGAAATGCATGAGGTGGGGAGGGACTTAGAGGACGTTTGGTCTCGTTTTACGTGTATTTTTATGAGAAAAAAACACTATAGAGAATCATGAATCATGATTCAGAATCTTCTTCCTTTATCATTGTCATTATCTGAGAACCTCTGTCATTATTTCCTCCAGAGTGAAAGCTGCAAAGAATGAATCCCTTGTCTGTCTTCATACCTATTTGAGTCGCCAGATTGTACCGGCGCTCCATCTCAAGCTAGACATCGTAAAGAAAATATAATATGCCTCAATGAAGTGTTGTAGTCATAACTTATGTGAAAACATTAAAGAGACATGATTATTTAACTTACAAATTTGGCCTCAGCTGCATCGCTAGCCTATATCCATGCCCCTTCACGGTAGTGCATTTGTCGGAAATTTTAGATAATATTATTCTCCCCTGTGACAAAAAAGTGATGTTATATTTTAATAACTATACTCTTTACTTTTTATGACTATATTTCTAATGAGATTATATAAGCATTAATTTCAAAATTATAATTCACTAATATATCATCATTAACATATTCACTAACAATTACTAAACTAGCAAAATGAAATTTATTATAACAAATTCAACCAAACACACAAATGAACAACTTAACATATCCACTTCAACCAAACTAACAAATAAAACAAATTAACAACCGACACCTAAACTAACATATTCAAGAATTTCAAAGTCCATCAAACCTCAAACAAAAAAACCAAATACCATCATCAACCTAAACTAATATATTCAAACAAAAGTTTTACAAAAACTAATTTACTTAAACCTAAACGAAAACTAATTCCAAATGCCAAATTAAATTAAAACCACTAAAACCCTTACATAAAACCGCCACAAAACAGCGTGATTTGTGGCTGGGGATTTGATGGCAGCGGAGTGGTGGTGGTCTGGGGGGCTGACGGCGAGCGGCGGCGAGGGGGTAGAAAGCTTTGGGCCGGTTTGGGTAGAGAGAGAGAGAGAGAGAGAGAGAGAGAGATTTTGGGGGCGGGGCGGCAAGAAAGAAGAGGCAGTGCTGAAGATTGGTGTGACAACCAGCAGTTAACAGTGGCAGGCCGATAGAGAGCTAAGAGGAGAGAGAGATTTGAGGTTTTGGTAAGAGAGAGAGAAAGATAGTATTCTAGAGAGAGAAAGGAAATGGGAGCGGCAGGGTGGTGGTTGTGACGTGGTGTGCGGCAGAAGGGAGGGACCGTCACATGGCTAGAGAGAGAGAGAGAGAGATCAGAAGCTGAGAGGGAGAGAAATCAAAAATTTGGGGAGAAGAAGATCACGGCTTGGCTGTTTTAAGTGACCACTTGTCGTCACTAAACCCTAAAATCTTGTCACTAATTAGCGAACCAATGACGTTGGTTCATTACAATTAATAAATTAGTAAAACCCTAATAATTTTGCGACGACAAAATTTTTAGGGACAACAATAGTCGTCGCTAAAAGTATCAAAAATTTCCTAAACCCGCGTTTATTTCCCTAGAAATTTCGGATCTATTTTTGCCAAACGTTTTATTGATGACACAGTCGTCGCTAAAATACCTACAAATTTTGGCCAACACCCAAAATAACGTGCTTAATTTTTAGCCAATTTTTTAATTCTTTTAGAAAACTATTAGTGACGAGATGTCATCGCTAAAATTCATGAGTTTTAGCGACGAACATTGTCGTCGCTAAACACCGCGCAAGCTATATAGGACTCATGTCGTCTCTAAAAGTAGATGCCAATGTTGGTTCCAAAACCTCTATCGGTAGTTAGCGAGTATAATTTCAGCGAAGATAGGTCCTCGCAAAAAGTTGACATAGTCGTTGTTAAAACCTTCGTCGCTTTTAGCCACGGTTCTTGTAGTGAGCTAAGTACATAGAAAATGTAATATTATTTTCTGTAATATTTTGTTCTCGTTGTTCATATACTGATTGACTATTTTTGTAGAGCACAAGGTGTCCACTCGCTTAATGAAGTTAAACTTGAGAATCGTCTAGTAAATCTATGTGGACGGGGACGTAAACGGTCTTGTATGAGCGTCGTATCCAAGTATCAAAATATACTATTTCTGTTTATGCAATTAAATATTGTAGGAATCTTCCGCTACGTATATTTTGTATGATGCAATTATTTTTTAGAATTTAATGCCCCATCCCTACCTGTATACGTTTGATATATATATATATATATTTAAACCTCACGTTTATTGAGTTCATTATTAAAATGACAAAATAGTTGTCATTCTAGAAAATGTCAAATCTTATAATGTAATTATTCCATTTTTAAATAGCCCGTAGAGTCATTAATCCTTTGCTATAAATTGAGGTGTCTACTAATTAATCCCCATCCATTCTCATACCAAGAAAAACCCATTCTCATTTCAAGAAAAATGAAGTACTTTTCCTTCTCTTTGTCGTTTCCCAAAATCACCATCTTTCTTTTTTCATTTGTATTGGTAGCTTCAGCAAATCACGCTCATGAAAGCTTTCTTGAGTGCTTGACCACCCGTATATCTAAGTCCAACTCAACCTCCACTCCCGAATCCATTATCTACACTAAACATAACCCGTCGTATTCAACTATATTAAATTCAACGTCTCTAAATCCTCGTTTCTTTCCTTCTTCCGCCAGATATCCGTTGCTTATTGTCACGCCACTTCATGCCTCCCACGTCCAAGCCACTGTTCACTGCGCCAAGAAACACGGCATACAAATCAGAATCCGAAGTGGTGGCCACGATTACGAGGGCCTCTCTTACATGTCCAACGTTACTTTTGCCATACTCGACTTGAGAAACCTAAGTTCTATTAACGTTGATGTGAAGAGAAAGTCTGCATGGGTTCAATCCGGAGCGACGATTGGTGAACTTCATTATTGGATTGCTAAAAAAAGCCAAAATCTTGCCTTTCCTGGCGTCGTCGGACACACTGTTGGTATCGGTGGAATGCTAGGTGCAGGTGGCTATGGCTATTCGTCGCGAAAATACGGGCTCTCAGCTGATAATATTCTTGACGCGCAACTTATCGACGTGCGAGGAAGAATTCTCAATCGAAAATCTATGGGGGAAGATTTGTTTTGGGCCATACGTGGTGGTGGAGCAGGAAGCTTTGGAGTCGTTCTTGCCTGGAAAGTTCGCCTAGTTGACGTACCGTCGAAAGTGACTGTGTTTACAGCCATAAGGGACTGGGATAACAATGCAACAAAGAAGTTTATTCATCGATATCAGCGCCGTATTGCCAAGGTCGATAAGGATATAACTATCATTGTCAGATTCCTAACAGCAAGTATTACCGATGAAAAAGGGAATAAGAAAATTCAAATATCAACTTTCATCTCGGCCACATACCACGGCAGCCAGGATAGGCTCCTTTCGTTGATGGAAAAAGAGTTTCCAGAGTTGGGTTTGCTTGCAAAAGAATGCGCCGAAGGGACATGGGTCCAATCCATTCTCTATTTCAATTTATTGACAAATAGAAAATCCTTGGATGTCTTACTCAATAGAACGCTGAATTTTGAATGGAGGGCTTTCAAAATTAAATCTGACTACTTGAAAAAGCCTATTCCGGATCAAGCGCTAGAAAATTTGTTGGTTAAGTTGTATGAAGAAGACATTGGAGAAAGCTTTGTCGAATTTTTTCCTTATGGGGGGAAATTGGATGAGATTTCAGAATCTGAAATTCCATGCCCACACCGAGCTGGAAACCTCTACAACCTTCGGTACATGGTGTTATGGAAAGAAGGTCAAAATGCTACAGCAGTCAACAAGCATCTGAGTTGGATAAGGAGAGCTTACAATTACATGACTCCCTATGTATCAAAAAATCCGAGGGGTGCATTTCTCAACTTTAGAGACCTTGATATTGGAACCAATCCTAATGAAAATGAGATCAACGGTGCTTATAACTATATTAAACAAGCAAGCAATTGGGGTACTAAGTATTTTAAGAACAATTTCTACAAATTGATTTATGTAAAGACTATAGTTGATCCAACTAATTTCTTTACGTACGAACAAAGCATCCCGTCCCTTCTTCCACATTAAAAAGGTGATGAAATGCTTGTTGCATTGTGATAAAATTGTCGTCTTATTTATATTTCTTTCTTTGTCCATTTTAAATAAAGGTCGTTTTGTGACCATATATGTATCAAGTTTTCCAAATGTACTTTGTCCATTCTATGTGTTGTTAATTCCATGACAATAATTGATTAAAAATGTGCTAGACATGTGCAAGGCCATAATCGACTTCTTACGTATCTTTTTAATTAAGTTTTAAATTTTAAATGTTTGTATGGCCATTAAATAAAATTTTATCGTACATATATAAAGATAAGACTATAAAATAAATATATAATATATACACACATATCTTACTACATTTACTTAAAGTAAATGAGTTTTTCTTACCTAATAACCAAAACGTTTGGCAAGAAAGTTGCGTTAGCTTTTTTTTTTTTTCCTTTTTCTTTTTACCTTTTTTTCTTTTACTTTATTTTCCTTTTCTCTCTCTCTCTCTCTCATTTTTTATATTATTATCTTTTTATCTTATTATACATTTTTTCTTTTTTTTCAAATTGACCCTCATAAATATAATTTTCATCTCTAATTTCTAATTAAAATAATTTATTCTCATACATATCCATATCTAAATTCTTTTAAATCCTCTTCCCCAGACAAAATATTAGTTTTTTTTTTAATTTCCTTCATTTTCCCTCTCAGAATTACCCGTTTAGGTTAACATCCTGCTTAATCAATATTTGACTCTTTGGTGAGCTCAATTTTCAACGGTGCATGAATATTGTCATAAAAACAAACTTCATGAGCTCAGCGATCACGACATCTAAATTCTTGTATGCCAATTCAGAGACTTTCTTCGAATTTAAAGTGGAACTTTCCAAAAAGAAAGAGAGAAAAAAAAGACACAAACTTGTTTTTAGCATGTGACAAAGTACAAAAGTCCCCACGAACGTCAAGCACTGGAGAGTTTGGATGCCTTTGAAACTCTTTTGGTCAAAATATAAACCAACTACGTTATCACAATCATTAATCTAGCCCTATAAATTAAATGGTGACCAAGATTTGAGAATTTCTTCATACAAGTACGTTGAGAGGAAAAGGGGAAAAAAAAAAAAAAAAAAAACAAGGAAAGAACAACATATCACAGAAAAATGGCGGAGTTATTTCTTAAGCAAGCAAAGCAGTACGCTGAGGCTCGGCCGGATTACCCGAAAGAGCTGTTCGAATTCATTGCCTCCAAGACACCCTGCCACGACCTCGTGTGGGACGTCGGCACCGGAAGTGGACAAGCTGCACAGTCTGTGAGTTTCTCTGTTTCCAGATTCCCCTTTTTTTTTTTTTTTTTTCTTTGATTTGAATATTAATGACACAGATTGAGTTTTTGGGTTTCGAGTAAATTAATCAAGCCTGCTATTTAGCATCAAGCAAACACGGTTTCTTTTTAAAGTGGAAAAAAAAAAAAAAAACAAATGGTAATCACCCAAAATCCACCATACAAAAATTTTATTTGATTAGAAAAACATAATGAATAACGTCAATATTTTCTTTCTTTTTTTTTTTTTTGAAAACACAAAGTAAATTCCATCATATATCGATTAAGCAAAGGAAAAGTTTATCTCATTAACCATACATTTTATTGCACAACATCCTCTATATGTTGCATGGTTAAGTACTATTAATTTTCTTGTGTCGTACTTCCAATATATTAATTAATAATTATAATTAAACACGATTTTATTTTTTTATTATACTCAAAATAATATCTTAAAAAATTAATCAAACGCAATTTTAAAATCAGTCCCAAAATAATTCTCAAACCAATCTCATTTTTATTTTTTATTAAAAACAAAATCATTTTGAAACTAATTCCAAATGCACCCAATAATTTCCTTGTGTCCTATTCTTATAGACTCTATTTTTATGAAGCCCTTTTCTCATATAAAGAGAGAGTTTAAACCAAGGAACTAGTAAAGTGTCGTTTGTGACACAAAATTGCCACATTAGAAACGGTGCAGAGTACTTATAGGGTCCGTTTAGTTTGTTGCTTCGAGTTTTTAATTCGAGTTGATATATGATTTATGTGAAAACTTTTTACTGTAGTAAAAAAATTAGATGTGACTGTTTCTGAGAGTTTTTTACTGTAACAAAACTCAAATTTTATAATCGAATAGGTGAAATGAACGAGGTCATAATATGCTTCAAAATAACGATCAATTTCAGCTAGCTGGGATCTACAAGAAGGTCATTGCCACAGACACAAGCCTAAAACAACTCCAAGAGGCGCCCAAACTTGCCAACATCCGCTATGAGCACACCCCACCAGTCATGTCCATAGCCCAAGTGGAGCAAAAATTGACACCAAAATCAAGCCTCGATCTAGTCACCATAGCTCAAGCCCTTCATTGGTTCGACCTCCAAAATTTCTACGACCAAGTTAAGTGGGCCCTCAAGAAACCAAACGGCGTCGTCGCAGCGTGGTGCTACACTTTGCCAAGAGTCAACGCCTCGGTTGACAAAATCATGGACCGCCTCTACACCATCTGTGCGGAGCCTTATTCGGACCCGCTGCGTAAGTTTGTGGATGATGAGTATAGGGGAATCGACTTTCCATTTGAGGCTGTGGAGGGAGCTTGTGAAACGGGGCCGTTTGAGTTTGTGATTGAGAAGGTGATGGATTTGGAGGGGTTTTTCAACTATATAAGGTCTTGGTCAGCGTATCAGACGGCTAAGGACAAAGGTGTGGAGCTTTTGGGAAGTGATATCGTTGAGGAGTTTAAGCGAGCTTGGGAGAATGATGAGGGTGGAGATTGTAAGAAAGTTGTTAAATGTCCTCTGTTTTTGAGGATTGGAAAAGTGGGGGGAGATGTAGAATAATAATATGGGTGCGTCTATGGACACTTCACGTTGTATTTTTTATGCATTTTATTTTAATAAAATTTCTTATTACTAAATTATCTATTAATAGAATTAGGAGACGTTGGGTTTATGAATTAGAACCATGTGATTATAACGATTTTTTATTTACGTGTATTTTTTATGAGAGAAAATACTGTAACGACCACGAATTATGATTAGAATCAGTGAACGAATCATCTAACCAAACAACCTCTTACTTTTAAGGATTGAAAATATTTTTAAAGAAAATAGAAAATACTCTTTGCACACCTCATTTAAAAGAAATATGTCATTTATAAAAAAAATTATTCTCTTTTAAAAATTATGGTGCCCAACGTTTTTTAAAGGAATAGGATGGGTTTCACTTTCACCCTACACAGAAAAAAAGTAAGTGGTTTTTTTCTTCATTTTACATTTTAACATTTTTTTCTTCATTATGGTGCCCAACTAAAAATACAGGAAAGAGACTACAGTAGAAACAACCCAATAAAGAGTATTAGATTTATTTATTTTTTATTCAAGAAAGGGATAATTACGTGGAGAGGCTTACAACTGAGTTGTCCTCATTTGTCACTATTAGATTTATTTTGAGATCTTAACATTTGGCATCACTTGTTAATATTTGTCAAAAATAATTCTTATCACTTTTACAAAAACAAAGTGTGGCATACCTTCAACGGATGGTTGGTGGGTGGGTTGAAAAAATAAAAACAAAAAAAAATTTAAATATGAGAAATTGTAGTAAATAGTATATTTTTAAACTAAATTAAGTTAATAGTATATTTTAAAATTATTTGAAGTAAATAGCATTTTACTATGTAAATAATTTTTTTACGACTAGTAAAAAATCTTAAAAACTCTTAATTTACGTGAAAAATTCTTTTTACTAGTTGTAAATGAACTATTTAAGCGATAAACTGCTATTTATATCAAATAGTTTTAAACTCTACTATTTATTTCATTTAGTTTCATAAATATGTTATTTAGTATATTCTCTCTTTAAATATAATGACTTTTTGTTTGGAATGATAAGAGGAGGGTCACAAGTAATAATGAAAATTTAAAATTGATCATTGTTCATTCGAACTGGTTAAGTCACTATGTCAGAACATCATTCATGGTTTGTGGAATGTTGGATACATTTTCTTGAGAAATGGTTAGGATTAGAAAGAAATGATCTCTTGTATGTTGTAATAGAGCCTTGTTGGAATCTCTATCTTTAGATATTCCAAAAAAAAAAAAGGGAAAAAGTACAAAAAAAAAGGAAAAAAAGAGAGAAAAATAGTGCTTGAGCAACATTCATCATCGTTTAAGTGGATTGGTTGTGGTTACATCAAGTGTTGCATAGCAGCGAAACAAAAGAATATCGTTCTATATTTGTACCATTCATTACATGTCGTCTCTTTGTCATGACCAGAAAATTCGTTGACAAAAGATGAAATTTTTTAGAATTTTTTGTATTACAAATATGAATACTTTAAAGTATTTGATGATATTAATAATAAATAGCAAAGTATAAACTAAAAGTCAGAAATTTTTGAACTATGATGCATCTTCCGAATTTCAGACTGTAATCAAGAGGACCACTGTGTTATTCCCATAAGAGGACAAACACGTGAATATTAAGTTAAGAAATGAAAAATAATTGAAAAACATCAATTGTAGGGTTTTAAAAACAGTCAAAACGAAGAACAGACGAAAAATGGGTTCGAAAGGCCGAACCGAGAAAATTAAGATTTTCGACCGATTAGGATTGACAGAATCAAAATTTGTTAGCCAAGAGTTGACCAATAGGTCACTCTTGAAAAGTTAGTCAAGGTTGAGTAAAGTTGACCAAGTTGACCAACTGTCTGAGAAACGCAGGTAAAACACGCACCGGATAAGAATTAAACTGAACCGAAATAAGATAGTTATTAAAAATGAATGGTTGAGATTTAAAGTAATTAATGGATGAAGGGCTGAGATTAAGACACTTGGAAGGGGAGAGAGTGGCCAGCCAAATCTTAGGGAGAAAATTGTTGGGAATGGTGTCCTAGAGCGTGAGATGTAATAGGATATTTACTATTTATTTAATAAAAGAATTTATTCATTATTTTATGTGCATATATTTATGAATATCAATGAAAATTCCA